TTTTTTAAAACATTGACTATAAGTAGTGGAACAAAGTGTAAAAAACTGTGGGAAAGAGGTGAGATGTCTGGGGTTCAACATAAAAACGTATTTAGAGATAACAACCAGATAAAGAAATTCATGAGTATGGAATCAGGATTATTTTTCTTAAATATCTTACGCCACATAAAATTCTTGAAGGTTTCAATAATTTCCTAGGTTCATATTTGCTGAGTCAATTCTGTATCGCTGAATATTTATTTCTCCTTTTTTCTTTGTTTTCCCTTCAGCTCGGTTAATCCTACTCATAATAAACACATTACAATTTTCTTTGGGTGACAAAAATAATTGACTTTTACATTCACGCACAACTTTGCGGTTGACCACATGGTACTGCATGGCACCGCATGGTATCAAAAATTTAAAAAATGTTTTAAATCACTGATATAAGAGTAAAAACAATAATAATAATCTGATGTTGAGATATTTCTGCTCTTTGTATCCAAAATGATTTCCTTGAAGGCTAATACATTGTTGGAGCAGATAACCGGTTCCCTCCTCTGTCATATTAAGATCATAATTGTGTCATATGGATCCAACAGTTTTTTTACAGGTCTCAGTCTGTCCTGATAACTAGACATAGTCTTGCTCTCAGTAAATACCACTGTCATCTTTTAACCTTGTTTCTTGTCCAGTAGCAGAAACACTTACATTAAGAAGCCACAGTCCTTGAGTTGCATTCCAAATGACCAAACTTGTATCACCCATGAATCAAATAATTAAGGAATTGAACATATTTGTTCATATTTTTTAAAGGTATGTAGTTTTAGGACCGCTATCTACTAAAAAAAAAGCTGCATAATTTGGCTAGTTGGCTGTAAACCTCAGTCACCATGTTTCCTCATCTTCTGAAACAACCACCAGGCAGAGAGCAACAGATTGACAATCAATTTGCTTTGTGAAGCACCGCCTCACTGGGAGGGAATCAAAAGGCTAAAGTGCCAATCAGGTGCAAGTTGGGCGGTTTAAAGTAAGAGAAACCAGATACTGCCTTCAGAGCATGCTGAAGATCAACAAGCAAGCAAAACATTCACAAAATGGATGTAGAATATTGGAGTTCTGGAATAGAATTGGAGTACAGGATAGAAGAGTTGACTGAATAAAGACATTGCACAGAAATTCAGACTGGGAAGCTAACTGGCAAATTGCTAGCTAAGTATGTAGAGCAGGAAAATAGGTTGGATTTACTTAATTTATGCAAACAATTGCCTCAAAAGATTCAATTACTGCAACATATAAAATACAAGTGTAGTTACACTGTGTAATTTTGGCAAAGAATATTCTTAAACTCATCCAGAATATTATTCTCTGCAAAACTTCTTTTATTTTCTACCTACAGCAGCAGCAGCACCAGCAGCAATATATTTGCTACATACAATAAAGATACACGGTCTCATTTTTTATTTATTTTTTGACATAGTTGTCCTGTTCAAAACCTTGTGGTTTGCTTGAGCAGAAATGGTGTGGTGTCTGCTGGGCATGTTAAAACGTTAAACATTTAGCACACAACATCTTCACTACTTTCATATAGTTCACTTTTTATTTTTTTTTTGTTGTTGCGTGGACTCAATTTAAATAGATTAACTGATAAAGCTTTTTTTTTATTGTTTGTGTGTTTTATCCAAAGATTCCTGCCAATGGTTTAAGATGAGTATAAACAACTAGTTGATGATAATTAAGTGATGTTCACTCGGACATTTTTTAAAAAGTCTGATGTTTTATTTTACACCGAGAGCGGCCAAAGTCCAGGTTCAGCAGAAGGCTGAAGGCATCTGATTCAGGCTTCAAACTAAGTACCCGTTTGCTTTACTGCAGAGCTTTGGTAAGGTTAAATTTAGTGGGCTAAAGAAAATCAGACAGTTGATTCTCCAATGTGAGAAATCCCTTGAGGTAGTCAAGTTTCTTGTTTGTTCAAATTTTGTTAGTCATTTACATAGTATGATGACTAATTAACAGTTGATTTATTAAGTGATCTTCACTTAATAAATACAATGTAATCTTTCAATTCATAGTTGAAGTTCTATTATCGAAATTCTAAAATTAAATATTTCGTCGTATATTTCAATAATTCCTTTCATTCAGTCTAAGCTCCCTGAAAAGGAGAAATTACCTTTCAGATCAATATATTTTTGATTGCTTTGAGTATCATGATATTTTTACTTCATCTGGCTGATATGATCTTCTTTAACACATGCTGATGGTTCATATTGTTCGTTAATAAGCTTATCATTTACAAGAGGTGAACATTAGTGAACATTAGTGAACAGATAGCATCATGAGAAGCAAGGAACAAAAGCTGTAGATAATTTTAACGGTAAAAAAAAAACAATCACCATGTTGTGACCAACTCTGGGAGAAGGGCTGTAGTGAGTATGTTTTTTTTTTAATATTTGTTTTTAGGTAAAGTGCACCATTAGCAAACTTAGTTAATGTTATTATAAGTTGGGCTAGTTGTCAGAAGATGTGAGAGGGGTTATTTTTTTAAAAAAAGAAAAAAAAATCACTGATTGAATGGTTGGTTGATAGCCAGCATATATTTGAAGTTGTGCAACAGAAACCAAAATAAAAAAATTATATGAAACCTGAATGGCCATTCAGTTTGATAAATGTTTACGCAGACCCATCATTCAATAAATTGATAGAAATCCAAGTGCACGCATCAACTCTAAATAATAGGAATTGTATTCACTATCTGAATACAGACTGAAAGTTTACATTGATCATTTATAAGCTTCAGTAACGGAAAATTCAACAACTATATTTCGTTATTGAACACATTCAAGTGTGTAAAATGATGGATGGAGGAAAAAAAGCATCATTTGGGCCGAGAAACATACAGCATATAAGTTAGAGACAAAAGTAGTGGATAATGATAAAGGTAACAAAATAATTTACCATGTCGGAGCGTAGTTGCGCAGTGTTAAGAAAAATAAAGAAAAGAGAGAAAAAAAAACTTTCAACTCTGGGGAAAGCTAAAACTTAAATATGAGTAGTCTCAGTAAGGTCAGTTTAATAAGTGTCACATATTCTTAAGAAATAAATTTACAAATGAGAAACTTTTACTGACATGTTTCACACTAGCGAGTGTTACAGAGAAAAATGTATGAGTTTCAAATGTGTTTATACCGGCGTTTACTATTTTGGAGAAAGCATGAAGCTCTGGGAAGATCAGTGTTGATTCAGCAGCAGGAAAAAAATTGAACCAAAGTAGCATTTACAATGATGCGAGGATAAATTTTGGAAAATTCTGGACAAATTCTTTAACCAAGGAAAGTTAAAAGTTTAATTTGAATAACCTCCCGTTGGCCTGCTTACAAACAGTCACATATTCTTAAGAAGTACATGTACAAATGAGAAACATTTACTGAAATGTATCACACTAGTGAGTGTTACAGAAAAATCTATGAGTTTCAAATGTGTTTAAACCGGCATTTACTATTTTGGAGAAAGCATGAAAATCACAAACTTGTAGTCAGTACTAACTAGTCATGCTACCATAAATAATGTAGTTAAATAGCAGGTTTTCTTTAGACGTATGTATTTGCAGGGGGCAGGGGCTTTTTTTTTTTCCCCCTCACGACTGCCCCAGACACACAACAAGGCAATTAGCACTCCCCCCTCTGCATTGACCCGCTGCGGCGCAGCTGAGGAGCTTTACTTGTGAAAAATCAGAAGCCTGTTGTAATATCGTATGACAGGAGGAGCGGGTGTTTCTAAACATTTCTTCTGTCTTAAAAAAATAAACAGAGAGAAAAACAGAGAAACCAGATGTGGTCTGGTTTGCCCTCATGAACCACCAGGGTTCATGAGGGCCTTGCTTTGAATTCCCCCGAGGTGGCTAATTTGTCATTCTGTATCGCTCTGAATTCCCCCGAGGTGGCTAATTTATCATTCTGTCTGCATCCTGCAAGTTTTGCAAGTATGCAACTAGTACATTCCTTCTCTCGCAGGCCCTGCGTATCGCAGCTCAGACCTCCAGTTGTAGGCCTGGCTGAACACAGACACAGAATCAGAAGCAACATCTCCGGCATCTATTTCAACTTCACTAGGTTTAGTATATAATTATATACATTTTACTTGATTAAATAACTGTTGTTGGTGCTGTATTACTCTTAAAAAGAAAGTCAGATATACGGCATTTTCTGAATTCAGCAGAGAGAAACAGAAAAACCTAACACACAGACCATATGTCACTGAGAACGACCCCCGAAGGGATTTCACAGGCCGTACCTATATTGATCAAGCCCCCAGCTCAGACCCCAGTCGTAGGCCAGGCACAGAATCAGAAGTAACATCTCCATTCCAAATCTATTTAAACTTCAGTAGGCATAGTATATAATTATATACATTTTTCTTGATTAAATAACTGTTGTTGTATTGGTATTACTCTTTAAAAAAGAAAAAATCAAGAGAAGGAGGAGGAGCAGGAGGACAAGGACGAGGAGAGGAGGAGGAGGAGGAGGGGAAGAGGAGGAGGAGGAGGAGGAGGTGGAGGAGGAGGAGGAGAAGGAGGAGGAGGAGGAGGAGGAGGTGGAGGAGGAGGAGGACGAGGAGGAGGAGGAGGAGGTGGAGGAGGGGACGACGAGGAGGAGGAGGAGGAGGAGGAGGAGGAGGAGGGGGGAGGAGGAGGAAAGGAGGAGGAGGAGGAGGAGGAGGAGGATGAGGAGGAGAAGGAGGAGGAGGAGGAGGAGGAGAAGGAGGAGGAGGGAGGAGGGAGGGGGGGAGGAGGAGAGGAGGAGGAGGAGGGAGGAGGAGGAGGAGGAGGAGGAGGAGGAGAGGAGGAGAGGAGGAGGAGGAGGAGGAGGAGGAGGAGGAGGAGGAGGAGAGGAGGAGAGGAGGAGGAGGAGGGAGGAGGAGGAGGAGGAGGAGGAGGAGGAGGAGGAGGAGGAGGGGAGGAGGAGGAGGAGGAGGAGGAGGAGGAGGAGGAGGAGGAGGAGGAGGAGGAGGAGGAGGAGGAGGAGGAGGAGGAGGAGGCACGTCGTCACATTCGAAAGGAGGGAGGGAGGGATGGGGTGGGTGTAAGGCGGGACTTCCGGTCATCTAAGGCGGGACTTACGGTGTTCTAAGGCGGGACTTCCTGTCCTCTAAGGCGGGACTTCCTGTAAAAGGGGCGTGGCACCTGTCAAAATGAGATTTGATGAAAGCCTGCCCCTAATGTCTCTCTATTGTCGATTGACTGAATGCAAGTGAAAGCACATGATTTCACAGCAGTGGTTTGCACTTTGGCTAAATCAATAGGCCAGTTCTTTAGAGGGTAATAATTGGTTTTGTAAGAATCCAAAATACAAACCAGGATGTTTGGAAAAGTCATACTGAAACATCATTGATCTGTTTAACAGCACCTGAGAAATCTTTGAAAAAACTTAAAGTTTCAACAGAGGGTTTAGTCATTTTAACTTCAGCTGTCAGTTTTTTTGCCTGTTTTTGTCACATGATGCTTACAGTAATTAGTGTCGATGTAGTACGGTGTAGACGTACTCTCCGGATTTGAACCACTTGCAGCCTGTGATGGTGCACGGGTCTGCATTCCTCTTTAAGATTTTTGGCATAGCAATGTCATCATATCGCTTTGGCTCTGCGACACAGCAAATGACAGACAAACACAGAAAGGAATGCAAAAACAAGACTGCAATTTTAAATTCATCTGACATCAAAACCATGCGTATTTGTTGTTATTTTAAGGATTAGAGTTAAAATGATACGTTTTTCTCATTATTATCTGCTGGGTGTTTTTTGTTTTGTGAGCTTGTGTCTCACCTTTGTCAGCTTGTGGTTGTGGGATGCTTTTAAAGATATCCATAAACTCTTCTGAGAAAGAAATGTTGCCAGAACCTTTGGTTAAATTTATGCCTCTGCTGTGTCAGATAAAATTGATCTTTGTTTCAAACTCACTGGGATACTGAGCAGGTTCTACTACAGGACTCTGGAACACAGATGGAAGAAAACTGCGTCATTTTGGTCTTTTACATGTTGAAACTTTTCTTTTTTTAAAAAATAAATACAATCAAAATGAAGAACAGCCTTTCATAAATCTTGGGTTTTGTCTAAGCTGCGAGGTGAATCAGTAAAACGAACTGATCCCATCATAAACTTACCGTGTCGACAGTTTCCACTGAGTTGAAGAGAAGGGACAAAAACCGGGATCATGATGAAGGTCCTGAAGCTTCATCGTGACACGAAAAGAAAATGTTTTCTTTCTGTTTCAGTTTGAAAGCATGTAAACATGATGAAGAAAAAAATGGGAGTTAAAGAAGAGTCAGAGAGCCGTTTACTGACGGAGCAGCTGAGGCTCAGATCCCGTCTGACACAAGAAACTGCTGACCAAGCTTTTTATATCCATCATTAATCCAGATGGGACAATCTGTTCCCAAAATAAACCAGTGCTGTTACAAGTTGCAGGTGAAGTGCATCACTGTTTGGTCCCGTCTTTGCACAATGTAGCAGCTTTTAACAACATGCAGCTCACGTGAACATAGAAGCAAATCTGTTTTTTACAAAAATACAAAATGGAAAAAACAGAAGTCCAACTGAAAACAAATGCTTTTAGCTCTTCCAGATGAGAAAGTGAAATAAATGTTGGGCTGTTTTCTCCCAGGTGATTTTAAATCTCTTCTGAAAACTTGTTTGTTTTCCTTTTCTTTTAATCCTTGGAGCTGGAGGATTAGGGCGATTCAGTCAATATTTCTTCTGCTTTCATTGCTTATTTTATCCTGTCATTGTTATTTTGCCTATTCTTTCATTGGAAGTAGTAGAGTTGTTATCGACTAATAACATTCTAGAACATTTGTGCAGGGAGGTCATGATATTGACCACATAAAGAACAGAAATATGTTATATTATGACACAAAGCACACTGGCATTTTGTAAGTCAGCGTTTCTGTATCTCAACTAACAAATTAAAAGCTACATCCTTTGTAACAGGAGTATCCATCACAAAAGTTTCATCACTTACAGCACCAGAATGTAACTTTTATAGAAAAAATATTTTACATACTTGTTAATATTATCATTATGTTCTGACAGTATCACATAAAACAGATAATCTGGAAAAATCGAGATCCTCTGCAGAAGCAAATCAGAGGCAGTAGGAGGTCTTAGCGCTGTCCATCACTCTCATCCTCTTGCTTTTTACAAAACTACAGGCTATGCTGGCTCACCGCAACATAGCCTGCTAGTTAGCAAAGCCACAGATTATGGTAGATAAACAGGTTTTTTGTAACTTGGAGTTGCTTTTCAATCAATAGCAGATTTAAAAGAGTACAGGAGGATGATTAGCAGCGCTAAGCCCTCCTCCTGGCTCTGATTGGTGGTTTTTGACCAGGAGAGGAACATTTCTTCAGAGGGCAATGGCAGGAGGAAATAGAGGAGTTGATTTTTTGTTTTCATTGCTCATCTGTCTCACAAGTCACAACCATGTTTATTCTTACTTCAAAATAAAGTAAGAATTAACATTTTATTGTATCTAAACTCATTTAAAACTCTGAGTATGGTTAGCATAAGAGCACAAATATAGTCTATGAATATATACTTTTATTTATCTCACCTGCTTTACATTATTTTAGCATTTAATTTTTAAACAACTTCATACTGAAAGTGTGGAGGCTTTTATTTTGTGGTGCTGCACTAAGGAAACCCTGATCTTTGTCCCAAATGTCCAACTGTTACAGAGAGAAAGAAACATTGATGTTGGAATGATCAAATTTTATTTGGTACTTGATTGAATGGATTACATGAATTACAATACCATTAAATTTCAGAAAAAACATGTTGGTCACAAGAATAACATGTTGGATGAGAACTTGTAACATTATGTAGATAAAAACCTTTTTAGTCCAAATGTAATTGGGGAACTTTTACATTTCACATTTCCATAGATTGTACATTCTTGAATAATTGCCTTTTATTTAGATATTTTATACCAGTCCAGTCCATCTTTCCATCTTACACATTTTTTTGTCACAACATAATTTACTTAACCAAAATTCCCCTTAGATTTATCTTCAATTGAAACATTCCTTTCCATTTTTTATAGCAGATGCAAAAAAAAGCCAAACCATAGTATAAATGAAAACCTTTTTTGATAAGAAATCCTTCACCAATAAGCACCAATATGTATTCTGACATTAACAGATTGAGATGTAATACCCAAAAATCTGTTTCTTCAGCAACTGTCTTCAGCAGTTATGTAGTTAAGTAGTTAAATGCAGTAAATGAGACAGCAGAGGAAGAGTTTCTGTAGCTCTGAGATTTTGAGAGAGGAGCAGGTCAGAGCCGAAGGTCAGCTGGCGAGCTGAAGTTTCTCCTTTATGGTGTTGAAACTTAAGCTGAGAGAAAAAGTACCGTAAGTCATACAGCTGCTGGAAATGCTAGAGAAATGTTTGAAAAGATCAATATTTTACTCACAGCATCCATAGAGCCTGTTGATGCGGGCGATGTCGTTGACGCTCATCGATGAGGCTCTTCCAAAGTCGAGGGAAGGATTAGCTTTGGAAAGGAGAGTCGGTTGGCCGTTTCTGGAGAAGGCGGTCCTGGAAGAAGGAGGAAGTGATGAACAAAATGCATCTGCAGTCACAGTCAGACTGAAAACAGCAAGCTGTGTGAACACAATAGAAGGTATTTTTGAAGCCAAGACTCACTTGGAGTAATGCATAACGGAGTTGAAGTCGTAGGGAGTGCCCAGGTTGTTAGTCTGCACCTTCTTAAAGTTGTGTTCGTTCCCTGATTAAGAAAAAAAGTTAACTTTTTAAATTGTCACTTTATGTCAGAAAATGTCACTTTTCCATTGCTATAGATAAAGTAGAACATGAGGCAATGTGATCTTACAGTTTAAATGTCAGTTTCCAAACTTCCCACACAAAAACCTGCTGAGTTCTCTGATTTTGGTCATTTGGAAAGTATTAAGTTCCCTATGAATGGCTGAATGGATCTGAATGCAAATAGTTTTTTTTCATTGTGTCCAAATGTGCAAAATACAGAAATGTATGACTTGTTTAAAATACTTCTGTTTTCAGATCTAACCAAGATGATCTGCAGATAGAAGCATTAAGCCACGGTTGTGTGACTGAGCCAACCTGGGATGATGTTCTGGGTGAGGACCTGGACGAAGGAGTCTCTGTCAGAGCGGACATGTTCGTGGTGGAACCCCAGAGCGTGGTTGACCTCATGCTGCACCGTGGAGTGATACACGCAGCCATTTTCTACTAAGAGACACAAGCTGTTTTCCACGCTGACGGCCCAGGTAGGACCAGCACCTGACGGGGAGATCAGGAGGAAATCAGTGGAAATGTGTGGAAGTAAAAGTCACGATATGTGACTGAGTTCCTACCCAGGTCCTGAGTAGAAGTGAAGGAAGTTCCTTTGGTGTGATGAAATCCTCCAGACAAAGCGAATGCAGGTGGAGGCGTGGAAGCTCACCAGGCCCTTGATGATGATGTTACGCTCTGCCGTGGCTGCAAAACAAAACATCTTACCAAGGTCCTAACTACAAAACAAACTCCAACACAGACATCATCTACTGTTCCTTCTGCCTTCTGAAATAAACATGAAAGAACTTGGAAAAGTTTGCATCTATTTTAAAGTCTTGTGTTTTATTCAGGTGCTGGTTTTGCTCACAGTAAGAGCTGGAGATGAGACGGGAATGTAGACATTTTTCCAGGTTTGGGCCATTTGCAGCCGGTGGCGGTGCATGGGTCTGCGTTCCTCAATTTGCTCAGAGCAATGTCACCGTGGACCAGTGGAGTCTCTGCAGAAACACAAAACACAACAGAGTGAAGAACATTGATTCTTATGACACAAAGGATTTTTGTGTATTCTTTGACCTCTGCATCTTGAACAAGACATGCTGCATTGAGCTGGCCAATGAAAGCACTCCAGGAGAGTACAGAGTCTTTTACTACTTATTCTTATTACACACAAGGAACCAATGTATTGTTTTATACTTTTACAATATTTTTAAAATGCTATGCTATCCTGGTTAGAAATTGTACAGACTGCAAATAAACCGATTGATCACTAGTGAAATGTAGGGACAGTTCCTTATGCAGATTAAAAAATATCCAGTTTCTTATCAGGCTTGAAGATTTGACAAAGGCAAACCATTAAGCTAATTTCTGAGAAATGAATCAGTCGATTTATTAATAGATGATGATTATTTTTTTGTCTTGACTTGCAAATATAAAATTACATTCAAAGCTGTTGGGTTGTGTGAAATTGCTCTCTTACTTATGCCTTCGTTTGCTTTGGAGATGATTTCTGTGACATCCATGTCCTCATCTGTGGGAGGAAGGAAAGAAATCCACATGTCAGAGATTTCAGTTTCACTTCAGGTTTCTTTTATTTTTCTACTCACTGATTTGGTTTTCACTGTCATCTGCTTTCTGCAACACAAACAGAGATTTCAGCATTTAATGACAACCACATTTCTTCTGCTTCATGATGGTTTGGATATTTGCTGTTGATGCTGCATTGCAAACCCAATATATCTAAACACATTAGGCTTCCCTATGTTGGATGAAACAAATTAGTTTTATTTGTCTCCCTTCAAACTTACCAGAGGAACAGCCGCCGTCCTTGCCATCGAGATGGTGAGGAAGAAGAAGAAGAAAAACTCTAAACATCTTGCTTTCTGCAGGGAAGCTTCTGACCTGAAAAAATCCAAATCTAAACAGAGTTTTGTTGTTAAGATAACAGTTCAAGTCTTGGAAGATAAAAGCAGTTTGTTAAAGCAATAAGAGAGGAATGTGAGTGGAGGAGAAGAGGCTACCTGTCAGTCCAGGAGTCTGAGGCTGGATGCAGAAGCAGCTCAGCCTCCCACCTTTTAAACGCTGCGAACACGGGGTGTGCCTCAGGGCTCATTGTTGTGCATCAGTCACCTGTCAAGTATCTTATTGATCTTGGACCAAAATGGGAACACAGCTTTTTTTTTTCCCATCACTTGAAGGAAGTTGTCAAATGTTAAGTTATGCAAATATTTAATTTGCCACTTGAATTATTGTTTTGAAACTATCAATGTAAAGGTGTAATAAAATGTAATTGTTTAGAAAAAGTCAGATCTACAATTCAGAAATAGAAGTATACTCACAAAAACAGAAAGAGCTAAAAACAACCTCAACTTTTAATGTTCAGTTAAATGTTAAGGAAATTTTAATGAGCTTA